CCCGCCGCTCGCGCTAAGGCAACGGTTGCCAAGGCAACGGGGAACCGGGCCCGCGCGGCTGGGGGGAGCCCCCCCCCCGCCCTCAGCGCCCCGCCGGGCCTCGGGCCAGCCACCCCGGGGGCTACGGTAGCCCTGCCCCGGGCCTGGGGTAGCGCTGCCCGAGGGCTGGGGTGGGGGCTGCCCCCGGGCCGCGATGGAGCCGGGTGAGCCCTCACGTCCTCAGCGACCCGCCAGGCCCCGCAGAAGGCCCCGGGCCTGCTCAGGCCGTAGGATATTTACCCCCTTGTGAGGGCGATGGGGAGGCCTCATGCCTTCCCGGGCGTGACCCTGTGGTTTCCTGGCCTTGGCTACCGTTTCTGAGCGGCGGGGTCCACCGTGGAGCCTCTCTGGTGAAAAGGGGGGTGAATGGCCAGAGTGGCTTGGGCTGCTCCCCCATCCCTATTGCACAGCGGCCCTGGCAGGTGGGTCCCGCTCCTGGAAACCCACAGTCCGGGAGAGACGTGGGGTTTGCACAGCTTCAGGGAACCAGCTGACACGCAGGACGGGGGGGTCCCAGTGACTGGTGTGTGGCTGAGCTCCTCCAGCACCACCCCATGTTCCTCTCCTCGCCCCAGCAGCCCGGTGTGCCTCCCCACAGCAGCATCACAACCCCTTGGCATCTTCACTTGGGCTTCTGTTTGGATGTGGGGTAGCAGAGAAATGCCAAAAAAACTTTGTCTCGACAAAAATCACCAGCTGTGGAAACCTTTAGTTACACGATGAACTCCACTGTAGCATAAACAGTTTGTCTAATTGCAGGAAAGATTGAGATCTTGCTCCACTGCCAACCACACGCTTGACAAAACATTGGCTGATAATCGGTGATACTTTTCTCCAGGTTATTACAAATAATTTCCCCCCAAGACTCCATGTGTTAGTATCTGCTCGTCATCAAAGGATGGTTTTCAGGCAGAAGCCTGGTGTCTGCGTTTTGTGTTGCTTCTTAACAGGTAGAGAATTTCTTCACCCGCTTTATGTCCTGATCCGTAGATAACAGCAAAGTTATCTTCCACAGGTATGAGGTGTTCGTGGCTGTTCTCTGCTGGGTGCAGGTGGATGATGGAAATCACCCAAGGGCCGTGCCTCTGGATGCAGGTGGACACTGCTGCGCGCTGCCTTGGTGACCGGCACCGGATCCTGCAGAATAACTCGCTCCACAAGTGAATTTCAAGGCTCATCTGAAAAGCGAAGCTACGTGATTGAGTAGAGCTTCGAGCCTCTAATGCCTGGGCTGGATAGATGAATTATCCTAATATCCAGCCACTGAAAATGTGATTATAAGTTTAGCTGCACAACAGTGATAGCAGGCTGACCTTATTCTACCTAATTTTCTTTGTTATGATTCTCATAAATTATTTGTTGCTGCATGTAACCGGTAGATTAAATAAATGTTTCAAAAATCGTTAAAGATTAATATGGGTCTGTCTTAAGATTCAACATTTATTTCCCTATATTTTTTCAAAGTGCAAGCAGAGGGCATTCTGGTTTGTTGTCATCAGGAAATACGATCTGGCGTTCAAAGGTTATTCCAGCCTCTATCACTCTTCCATATTGCAAGATTGTAGGCAATTAAAGTGGATGTCCTCTGCAAACAACTTGCTCGTTGTTCTATAATCTCCATTTGAAGAGGCTGGTTTTCCACACAGTTTTTTCCAGGCTGTCGTTTTGTGACGTTATCATTATAACAAGCTGCTCTTGTTTTTAGATTAAGGCCCAAACCAAATCCCCTTTAAACTCAGGAAGAATGTTTTCTTTTACATGGCAGGCCAGGCATTAAATGGATTGGAGAAAGAAAACGGCCCTTTGACTCTCAGAGCAGGTGACCTGTATGTGAGGGTGAAGGTGCAGCTGGGAGAAAACTGAGCTGCTTTTTCCTCTGACATATTTTTGCTATAGATAAAGAATGGATCCAGCTGTTAAACTTAGGAGAATCTCTTAGAAATATGCTTTAAGAAGGTGGCAGATTGTCCCTGCAAAGCCAAGCCAGTATTACATGGACACCTGCAACTCTGAATAAAATAAAAAAGTGGAATAGTTGGGCTCAAGAAAATTAATATTGTGAATAAAAAGCATTGAGGGAAGTCTAGGGGTAAGGAGAATGCCCTCCTTTTAGAGGCTTCTGCTGCTCCTGGGATCCTGGCCTTGGAATTAATTACCTCTTGTCCTCCCCCTTTCACTGGTACAGCCTTTCACTCAGAGCTGCCTTTCTGTTCCAGCCGGAGGTGAAATGAGCTGCCACTTCTTCCACCACCCTGAAATCCGCTGTGGTAATACCCTGGAACTCTGTCACTGAGGGCATTTGCCAGTCCTTAAGTAGGCTGAAATTGATGGTTTTGGGGGAAACTTTGGAGCTGATGGTGAAGTGGTTTGTTAAGAACTGGGTGCCATCCCACAGCAGCGTCCTCAGAATTCTCCTGGAGATAAAAAGCCTGCGTTTAAAATGGGAGGGTCACCCGTGGATTGCTAAACGTGGTTGCTTTTTCCATGAGGAAATGAAGGGCTCTCCCTTCCTCAGCAGCAGCAAATTCGTCTGTAATTTGCAAACCACTTGTTTCTTTCCTGTAGCCCACTACTGAACACGCTTCAAGGCTCTTCTTCTGGAAAATGTTCATACACTGCTTTTCTAGATGAAATAGTTTTCCTTTTAGTCTCCTGGATCCCTTAACCCTTCGGAGTGGGCGTACAGGTGAACTGACAAACACTGCGCAACTTGTCTGCCAGCAGAAGCTGCAGATTAATTACCAGGAGGTAACACCTTTGAGAAATTACCATATTCAACCACGACACCTATTGCACGTAACAAAGCTGAACCCACGTGCTTGTTTTCCACCATACTGGAAGAATGCCTGGGATTTCATTTCCTTCCACCGTGGTCCATTTATCAGTACCAGAGAGTATGTGTAGAATGAGAGTATCGGTCCCTTGTCACCCCCAGGACTTCTGATCTACATTTAGATTGTAAAAAAAGTGTGGTCTGTAGAAATATCCCTACTGGGATCCTGTAGGGTGGAGATACCTCCTGGGTACAGAGAGCAAGGGAGAGCTGACCCGTCAGTGGCACTAACCAGTACCTTCCAGTTGGAAAGCCCAGTGAGGAACTGGGGTTCTCCCTCAGCTTTACAAAATCACCTTCAGATGAAGGAAAACACATGTCTGCTGGAGATTGCATGAGAACCTGTGCTTCCCTGTCTCCCTGCAGCTATTTACGGAGAGGGAAGACTCCGTGCAACATCTCTGCCCATCACGTAATGCTCTTAGTGCTAAAATCAGCAAACAGAGCAGGGCGAGGGGCTGTGAGTTGGGAATTTTGGTGCACTGGGCAGCCTGATTTCTACTGCGTTGAGCTTCCTCCACGAAGACTCATCACACTTTCCAAAGCGGTGGTTTTCCATCTTTCACCTCCTCTTGTCCTCTTCCCCAGAAACGAACAGGAGAGAGAGAGAGAGACTTTCATTCACCAACCCCTCAGACACTGCCCACAAACAGGAAAGGATTTCCCAGGACAAACACTGCACAGCAAGAGAAGGCAGTTGAATGAATCAATGGGATTTCTGTCCTGTTATCCTCACAAAATGTCCACGATGGTCCCAAGCGCCGCGGCCGGCCCCGGCGGAGTGGTGAGGAGCAGCCTGTGCGTGCCCCAGCCCTCTCCTTACGGCTCTATTTTCAGCCCTGCACTAATTTTGAACCCCTCTGTATCTGCTTCCCCCCGCTTAGTTCTGCGGGGCCTCGTTTGCCCCGGCGCTGAGCACTTAATATCCCCGGCTGGGATCGACTTAGTGGAGGTCACTGAGATGGGCTGGGGCTGGCACCACCACTGCAGGAGGTGAGGAGGAGGAGGAGGAGAAAGAGGAGGAGGAGAAAGAGAAAGAGGAGGAGGAGAAAGAGGGAGGAGGAGGAGAAGTCTGTCTTCTCTGCCAGTGGGCTTTAGCATCCCCCAGCACGTACCACAAAGTTCATAAAAAAGTTAGGTCTTACTAGAAATTCACTAAGAAAAAAGAGACCTGGTCAAAAAGACATTTAAAATATTCCCTGGATGAACGAAGTTGGGGTACCATGATGAAAGAGCAGCCATCTGCTGCTCTGACAGCTTCAAAATACCTTTTTAGCCCTTGTATAACAGAGTTTCCTGTGGCAGTTCACCATCCAGCCAGCCTTAAGGAGAGCAGAATATTATTCTTAGTGATGGACCAGTCACTTCAGAGCCATCACCAACACCGGGGGAAGGGTTTCTGCAGCGTAATGCTGTTGTCACTAATTACTTACACCCAGTTCTGCAACTCAGGAGGAATATGCAGCAGCGTGGCCTCCTGTGCCGGGGAACTGCGTGCAACAAGCGATGTTTTTCATGTAAATAAAGAAACCAAATGAAGCAGAGATAGTAGGACTCTGCTCCATTCATGCAGGTGTTCCTATTGTTTTAAAGGTAAGGCGCGTGCAGTTCAGCTCTTATGCTGATGAGCGCAACAAGTTATTCAGATTTATTTCTTTTCCCGTCACTTAAAAACGTTTGATGTGTAGGAAATGATGCCAGGGGAAGCGCCGCTTCACACCTCTGCCTGGGCTGCCCCTGGCAACCCCCTGGGGCTTCTCCTGCCCCTCCGGACCCGGGGACAAACACCCCAGGGCAGGGAAACCTCTGGCAGCTCCTCTCCTGGCAGAGAGGGACCAGGCGAGGTGGTGCGAGGAGGATGATCCCCATCGAATCTGAAATAATACCTCTATTTAGCACTTATCTTCAAAGTGCTGTGCAAACATTAATTAATGACTCTGGTATTGCCAGGGGGAAGAGCTGGCAGAGGGAGGGGTGACAGCTCGTCCTGCTCCGCTCTCTCTCCTGCTGGAAGCCAGACCTTCCTTTGCAGGGAACGGGATGCTCCCTCCTGGGGCTGGTGGTTTTCTCCAGCAATTACAGCTCTGGAGGCGCTGGCAGTGGGTTTTAAGTGTCTGCATTACTAACAGGAGAGGTTTTAGCCCGTAAAATATTTTCATCTATAAGATTGTTTACTTTTCAAGTCCCTAGGCTGTGTTTAGGAGGATGACGGGTCAATAGCATTTATAGCCCACCAGGTTTTCCAGAGAGACTTCTCTACCAAGGGGTCTGGTCCCACTGTGTCTTCCCTGCACCTTGTCCTTCCTTGAGCAACCCCAACCAGAGACCCCAGGGACCAGCTGGGTGAGCACAGAAAGGGTTTTGAGTGGTGCCATCATCTAATTAATGAAAAAATGAGATTTTTCTTTATTCCTATGTATCTTTATATACATTAAACCCTTTTTAGCCGGCATATTTGGGTAGTGTTCAAACAGGAATCAATTTCTATGGGAACTGTGGATTTGCTTTACCCAGATGATTTTTTTTTCCTAAGGACACTTTGGAAAGTAAAACTGCATTTACCCCAAATGTATAACTATGCAAAGAGAGAATGACTTAGCTCCCAACCTTTTCACCGCTATTTAAGTGTTATTGGAAAGCAACGATTAATTGAAAGGCAGAAGAAATGAATGAGAAAAAAACAACCACTAATTGAATTCCAAAATGCAACATCTGTCCCCTGCTCCTGACTGTGCTTTGCGAGGGGCAGTAACTGAGAGCAGGGCTGGACGTACTCAGCATCTTCATCCCAATAACCTGTGGGGTTTGTGGCCAGAGCACTACAAAGCCCAGGTGCCCCAAAACCTGACTTCCAGCAGAACAGCACACAACCCCCTCTCTCCCCACGAGCCAGTTCACAAAATCAACGTCCTGAACCTCTGCTAAGTGTTACCTTTGGGAATCCACAGCAGACTCCAGCCAACCTTTTCCATCAACGTGTCACAACATCGTTATTTGACCGAAACCTTTCACTTTGGTTGCGCAGAGGGAGGTGTTTGCGTGGGAACAAACCTGGGGCCGCCTTGTTCCAGGTCCCCCGGGGGAAGCACAAAGGCAAAAGCTGCTGCTGGCTCCTGGAAAATCACCTCTTCCATCCCAGGCACGGGGGGGATGTACCTGAGCCAGGCATTTCCCTTTCCCTGGGGTGGGTTTGGTCTCGAGATAAAGGGTATGGTAAGGAAAGGGCTGTCACTTCTAGATTTTAAAGCTTTCCCCTCCATAAATATAAACCACGTGGCTCTGGACAGGGAGGACAGCACCACAACGTGCTCCGGGTGATTTCAGTGAGCAAAGCTTCAGCCCGCAGGGTTTCTAAAGAGCAGAAACTGCCTCAAAAGCAAATTTAGAGCTCCTCTAATTCCATCACGGCAGGGTCCGGCGGGGGCGGGCGGTGGCTTCCCACTGCATTTCGACTCATTCCCCTTCGGTATTTTTATCCCCTGTGATTCGGGGGGGGGACACAGCTCCTGGTTCACCTCCCCAAGGGAGCCCTTCACCTGGCAGCCCTGTCCCCTCTTGCCCTGCCTGCGGAGAGGTGCCAAGGCAAACACCCCCCTGGGCCCCTGCCAGCTCGCACATGCCGCGCTCCAACGCCCTTAGATCTGTAGCCAGAGAAACAACCTTCATGTACAAATTAGTCAGAGTAATTGAAACGTCTCAATCCGGCTCGGCCGGGTCCTATTTACGGCCAGAACTTGACTGTAAAACTCAGACACTGAGCAGGAAACCAGCCACTGGCAGCAAACTCCAGCTGATGGATGGACCTTGGGTGCTGATGCCTCTGGTGGGTGGGAGGAGGCAGGGGGTGGGCAGGGACCAGCCTGGTCCCCCCGCTCCCAGCAGGGATGCCCGTGCCCCAGGTGCACCTCCCATCCCTCCCCACTGCAGGGCTCGGCACACAAGGGGGGTCCCTGCGTGCCCTGGGGTGCCCAGGGGAGGGTATCCCCCCTAATCCCTTCCAAAGGCTTTGGTGCACCCCGGGGTTGGCACATGCAGCCCCTCGGTGCAGGCAGGACACAGCCCTGTGCCAGGACACGGGGAGGAGAGGCCGAGACACCACCAGCAGCACCTGGGGCAGAAACACAACGTGGCTCCTGAGGGTCCCATCCTGGTGACCCCACTGTCCTGGCCAAAGGGGACATGGAGACGGTGACTTGGGCCATCAGGGACGGGTGCTACCCACACACGGGGGGCTGTATGACCCTGGTACCCCCCATGCAGTGCGGTATCACCACTGTCCCCACACGTGCTGAGGCTGATACCTGCCCAACACCGCTCTGCCCTGGGCTCCCCTCGCTCCCTGGGGGTCAGAGCTGGCTGAGAGCACCCCATACCCCCCCGGCTGGCCCTGGGAACAGGGGTGATGAGACCCCTGGGGCTGCCAGGAGCACACAAAGAAGGAGAAGCTGCAAAGAACACCCATATCCATGGGGTTGGGGCGTTGGGTGCTGCTGCCTGTCCTGCTGGGCAAGACACACGGACGCTATAAGACCCTCAGCAGAAGCTCCCCCCCCCATCAGCTGGGTAAATCCCCCCCAGCACCGACTTACCCGTTGCAGCCACCGGCATCTTCGCAGCCTCAGGGGTCGTGGGAGGCTCTGGGCAGCAGCCCGGGGCATGGGGAGCCTGGGGCACGTCCCAGGGGCTCAGTGTTGGGGGGCTTGGTCCCCTCTGCTCCCCAGGAAGAGCCGGGGGGAGCAGGGCAGCGCCGCGCTCCCCAGCATCACCGGCGTTGCCACGGCAACGGCTGAATGACTCACACTCATTTCTGAGTGACATCAGAGGTGTGGAGGAGGGGGCCGGGGGCTGGAGGGACGATGCTGGGAGCAGATATTCCCAGTTTGGTTTTGCTGGTTAAAGCTGGGAAGGTTTTGTGAGGGGAGAACATCCAGTGGCAGCCCCGCAGCCCACCCCCGGCTGCAGCTCAACGGGGTCCTGGTGTTATTGTGCTGGAGATCACAGAATCATAGAATGGTTTGGGTTGGAAGGGACCTCAAAGATCATCTCGTTCCAACCCCCTGCCCTGGGCAGGGACACCTCCCACCAGACCAGGTCGCTCCAAGCCCCCTCCAACCTGGCCTTGAACCCCTCCAGGGATGGGGCAGCCACAGCTTCTCTGGGCAACCTGGGCCAGTGTCTCACCACCCTCATAGTAAAAAATTTCTTTCTGATATCTAATCTGAATCTTTTTTCTTCCAATTTAAAACTGTTTTCCCTTGTCCTATCATTACCCTTCCTGGCAAAGAGTCCCTCCCCAGCTCTTCTATAGGCACCCTTCAGGTATTGAAAGGCCTCTATAAAGGTCTCCCCAGAGCCTTCTCTTCTCCAGGCTGAACAATCCCAGCTCCCTCAGCCTGTCTTCACAGCAGAGGTGCTCCAGCCCTCTGATCATCCTCGTGGCCCTCCGCTGGACCTGTTCCAGCTGGTCCATGTCCTTTCTGTGTTGAGGACTCCAAAGCTGGACACAGTGCTCCAGGTGGGGTCTCACGAGTGCAGAGTAGAGGGGAGATGATGGAGCTGGGAGGGGAGGAGATGCCAAAACCCCTGCACGTGTTGGCTCGGTGCTGGGGCAGGGCGGGGGGGGACACCCTGGATTGATGGGGCCCCCCCTGCCCTTGTGACTCTTCAAAACACAACCGGAATAAGGAAACCGGTTTGGAAATCACTTGCCTTGACTGGCTGCTTTGTGCTGGGCGAAGGAACAGGGCGAGGTTGCCTTCGGGGGGGTCATTGGGCTCCTTGTCTTTGGTGAGGCTGCTGCTCCCCCTGCACCGTCCCCAGGGGACCCTGCCCACACCCGGGAGGCTCTGGCAGGTCCCCAGCCCCACAAGGTCACGCCGTGGGAGCTGAAAAGGGGCTTCACTTGGAAACTAGTCATGAAGAGACAGAAGCATTAGCTGGGGACACACACCGGGGGGGGGTCAGGCACCACCCGGGGCAAACGCTCCACATCCAGGTATTTTTTAGAGCATTTTGGTAGCACCTTTGCTCACACACCATTGAACAGCCACAGCCAGAAGCACTGGTGCTCCCTCCCCTCTCACTCAGGGGCTCCCTTAGATCAAGCCCGATGAGACAAAATCAAGTATTTCAGTAGGATGAGAGTCCTTCCTGCCCCGAGCAAGAGCAGCACCAGGTCAGACAGCGACGCAGCAGCCACGCTACGTCCAAGAAATAAACTCTCCTCATCCTTCCTGGGGAGCAGCATCACTCAATCCCTCCCCGACAAGACACCCTCTCGGGGCTCCTGGGCATCCTTCCTTACGTGAGGCTGGGATCAGGGAACCCAAGGCTGGAGGCATTTATTTTTAGCAGAGCAAGCTATAAATACAGCCCCCGGGAACCCACGGAAATCTGAGCGCCCGGGAAGCGCCGGCACCGGGGAAGCCCACAGTGACCAGAGCTGCCTGGGTGTCTGGTGGGGAAAGGCACCGTCCTGCTTCCAAACACCTGGGCTGGAGGAAAATACAAAACATTTCAAATCTCTTCTGTGCTGGGCACGATGCTCCTGCAAGGGGGGAGAAGGGGCTGGCAGGGGGAGCCGGCTGCTGCCATCTCCTTCCTGCACCGGGGGAAGCAGGGAGGGAAGAGCCCAGAGCTCAGATTTTGGGGAGGATTGTGCATTTTTTTTTTCTTTCTTTGCATGTGGGAGCAGGGGAGGAAGGTGCCCGTCTGCGAGGGAGCCAGGGGAAGGGGGGCAAATGTGGAGAGCACCCCGTGATTCATCGCACGCAGCCTGGCAACCAGCTCCTGTGTCGGGGAAAACACAGATGGGAGAGGGCTGCTGCCATGCTGAGCCAAGAGCACAGAAATAGTCGCCTGGTGTCCTTTTAAGGATGATTTAGAAGGGTCCAAACTATTTTCCTTCTCTTGCATGCCTCACAGAGGAGCCGTGGGGGTCCAGCAGCCCACACCGCCTGGTTCTCCCTAGCAGGGGCTGCGTGGACCACGTGGGAACGGAGCAAATATCTAACCCCAGGTGCCAAAAAATCCAGTGAGATGCCCCAACCCCCCCAGGGCCCTCAGGGCACGGGAAGGGGTCGAGGCTGGAGGTGGCAGGTGCTGTGCCATTTCCCTGCACGGCAGCACCGAGGAGCTGAATAATTCAACCACCCCCTGGGAGCTGCTGTGGGTACGGGGCTCCCGGGCACAGATTCCCTGTGGAGCAGCCCTTCCTCAGAGACCAAACAGAGGTTCACTTCCAACCTAAATGTGGTTTATGCCCAAGTTCTGGCTCATAAAAGCCAAGTAACCACATCATGCATAAGTGCTCCGAGTCTTCCATGAATAATCTCTTTTTCAGGGTGCACCAGCAGCTGCTCACACCTGCACAGCCCGGCACAGGGGGGTCAGACAGTTCTCACCAGGAATTAAGCACAAAGCTGCTGTGGCCTTGACTTGTGCCACACAGGAGGGCCCCAGTGTGGAACCAGCTCGGGGCACGCTGCTTCCCAGAGCGGGAGAGCTCGTTACGCAAACGGCGATGGCATCCCTAATGAAACCTGGTGGAAGAGCTGCAGCTCTTCCCGGCGGCAGTACCGCATCCTGGGGGTGCAGGACCCCAAGACATCGAGTTTGCATCCTCCCAGCTCCTGCCTTCATCACCCACAGCCAAACACCCAGCACGGGGGAGGCAGCACCCACCATGTTTGAGCCCACGGTGACTCCACAGGAGCCCCCCAGACCCTCAACTCAGGCTGTTTATTTGGGCACCAGCCCCTCGGCCAGCCCTCTCATTTACACCCCTGGGTCTGAGGGAGCTGGTCACCTCTCCAGGTTTATTTTGGTCTGGTCCAGCGCATCTCGAGTTACTGATGTCCCTCCCCCCCCCAGCTCCACCAGAGACCAAATTCCTGGTGACACCGGATACACGGGGCTCGGGCACCGCCGTCCCTGCTGGGGTCACACTCCCTGGCAGCCCCACCAACGCTGCTCACACATGGACCCTACAGACCTGCCCGGCTCCGAGCTATTTTCTGGGACCAAACCACAGGAGCCGTGGCCCAGCTCACAACTGCAAACCTTGCATCTCGAAGCAAAGGCTTTGAATAGCAAGATTAAAGAATTTGCTCCATTAATTCTGCCCCAAACCCGCTTCCCCTACAGCAAAAGCATCCCCCGCAGCTTCCAGAGCTGCTGCTTCCTCTGGCCAATTCTGCTCTCGGGGTAAAATCACCATTAAAAAAAAAATAAAGATAAAGCAGACGGTGGGGAAACTGCAGCCTTGATGGGAGTGTGTGGGGCTGCCAGGGCACAGGGGCAGCACCCACTGGTTCTGCTGGAATCCACTCCAGGCAGCCAGGGTGGAGGAACCAGCCAGGGAATGGTAGTTTTCGGCTCCTTCTCAAGGATTAGTGCCACCAGTGACCTCCCAGCCACGGGAGAAGAGGGAACACAGGGAAGGAGAAGGCCCGGTTGCTGGGAGAGGCTGCAGTAACACCCGTCACGGGGACAGGAACCACTCTCCTGCTCGTGCTGGTGGTGATGTCTCACCTCGCCAACACCAAGCCCCATTTTCACAGCCGAGCAGGACCTGCACTTACCTTCCCCTCCCTTGGGAGCAGGGACTGGGGCTCCCGGGGCCGGAGCAGCAGGAGCTTCTCTCTTCATCGCTGCTGGGAAGCGCCGGTGACACCTCCCTTCGCATCCCCAGAGCCCACAAACCCCACGCCAATTACAGCCCTTCTTGTCACTTTTTAATTTTTAAGGTGTGGATTTCTGCCTAGACCTGCTGTACCAGTTTAGGTTGAGAAGCACCATTATCTAATGATACATCATCAGCTGCTTTATGGGGTTTTTTTTTGTTGTTGTTGTTGCTGTTTTAATGTTAAATGAGTGGAGAGCTGGACCTTTCAACTGCCCTGCAGCCCACTGCTGATCTGTGCATTCAAGGAAATCAGAGTTTGGGGCCACCAAAATGCCTGCATTTAACACCACAACGTTAAAAACCCCGCGTTTTTAACAGGCGTTTAGGTGTCTCAGACACTAATCCTCCATCATTCACGAGATGCAATGAAAATCACCCTGAACTCCTCACCAGCTGCTGTAACAGGCACTAAAACAAACAGGCTGCTTGGCAGGTGCCCTTCCTCGCCCTGAACATTGTGTGAAAATGCTAATAACCCCACCTCTTCCTTAGAGAAATAACCTCCTGCATTTACACTCCTAATGAGTTGCCTCCCAGGCAACCACACACCCCTGGGCAAGGCTTGGAGCTTCCCAGCTCCGTGCCAAGCAGCTGGTGGCAGCTCCGGGAGTCAGGGGGGCACCCTGGTTCCCTCATGTCCACGTTGCTGCATCCCACCACCCCCCCCAGCTGCTGGTGCTCTGGTGGTTTCCCTCTATGAGGGTTCCCCTGCTGCAGGAGAAAAGGCTTCCAATTTATCAGTCAAACACCATCAAGAGAAATCCCTCTTAAATGGCATCAGTTCATCCCAGGGCATCACCAAATCTTGTTTCACACCACTCTTGCAATGGATCTTACCTACATAAAATACAGAAATAACTTCCAGGTGCAAACCCAGCCACTGAACCAGGATTTTCTGCACCAATTCTGTTCCAGGTTTCTTGCCCAGCTACTGAAATGTCTTCTTTTCAGAGAATCGATTCCAGCCGCCTGCGGATACAAGGAACATTGAACGATGGGGATTCATAAACCTTGGCTGCTCCTGGAAATGACGTTTCGGAACACCTTGTAATAAATCAAAAAAAACCTTTATTTTGAAGATA